CCCTGCCAGCCCCACTCCCCCTGCAGCTGGTTCCCCCCCCTTTCCCCCCATCTGAGATCAAGTGTGTCCGGTATTTTTGTCGAAACCAACTGACAACCCTAGCTGTGGAGCCCGGAGATACTCTGATCGGGAGGACGTGTGACACAGATCTCCACCCCGGGGCCGGATGGAGGCCCTAAGCACTCGCCTAATCATAGGCTTTTCTCCCTTATGCATTGAGATCTAATCTATTGCCTGTGCACCTAATAACACCTACTTGAATTTTCACTCCTGAAAGTGGTGCACTGTGTGAGCAATTCCTGGTACTTCACTCCAAAGTAACAGCCATTTTGATGTATACTGCAATTATACCTAGGATGTACCTGATAGTTATTCGGCTGAGAAGGGGAATTGAGGAGATGTTGGTGCTACGACTGTATAATTTAAATGAGCAGTTTTCTTTTCTTACTTTCAAGTCATTTACGATTATTTTTTTAGGCGCAAAATTCTTTGTAGGTCCTAAACTCGTTCATAGGCCCTCGGCCTATTGTGCCTAATGGATAATCGGCCCCTGCTCCGCCCGAGAGAGGTAGCAAGTAGGGCGCCGTGAGGGTAGGTGCCTTTGCTACAACGTGGAAAGGAAACGCAGACACCGCGGCCCTGAACTGTAGCACACGGGACGTTAGAGGAAGTGACTGTTTTTATTTTTTGTAGGGGATGGAGCCCTCGTCTGGATTTGAAGCGAGTAACACGGTCAGGCCTGAGTCAAAGGGTCAAAATGGTTCTGGCTGCTCACCGTGGCCTAGACCTAACAAAGCACTGAAGCGCATGCTTAAATTTAAGCGCACACAGCACACAAACCTCCCGGGGGCCCAGGTGAGGTAGGGTAGAAGGCGAAGCTGTGGTTTAGTCTTGCGGTCGATGTTTCTAGCGCCTGATGTTCCGAAGAGCAGCACTGTCTGAATGCTGCCGCTCAGTTTGTTCTGTTACAGCTGATTTACGCTAACAGGCTCCGGGGTTTCACAGCAGTGGTGTCTGTTTCAGGGTCTCTGTCCAACAGCAAAGAGGATTTACTGTTGACATTGAAAACCGTTATGGGAGACTCTCTGGTAGCTGGGACAGTAGCGCAGCTGAGAGATCGAAAGGACTGTGTAGCATTGCCAGATGGTTTAACCAAAAATACCGAACACCCCCCCCCCCAAAAAAACACCAGGAAAAAAATGCTGTTGAAGGGAAGAAAAGGGGGGGGAGACCAACGTTGTTGAGCAAAGAAGAAAAAAAAGGACCCCAAGAGTTAAGCAAAAAAATTTAAAAATTAAAAAAAAAAGTGTGGCCCCTTTAAGAAATGCTTTTGAGGCTTTTTGGCCCTAACAAGCTGACGGCAGCTGTCCGCCGTCTTGACTCCCTGCACCGGGTCAGACAGCTTCCCTGCAGAACCAGATAAGCACCTGGGATTTTTGCTTCCTGGCTGGGAAAAAATCAGAAAATACTGGACATCTTAGGTGTCCGGTATTTTCTGAAATTTTTTACCAGACAGGAGGCGAAAATTCCGGACTGCCCGGGTCAATACCGGACACCTGGCAACCTTAGGACTGTGATTCACATCCTGTCGAGGGTCGAACCCTCGCAAGCTGTGCAGGTAGGAAGGAAATGCTATCGCCACCGGTGACACCGCATCCCCTCTGCTCATCTGAGGGCTTTGCAAGGTCCTGCCGATGGGACGACTTCATGCTAGGCCAGGACCTACTGGTCCTGCAGCAAGTAGGGCCAACAAGGTCAGTGGGAGCCAGGTGCTGAGGGTTGCAGAATCTGTTCTGTGTGGCTCATACAACTGCACATGCTCTATTGCAGGGGGGCAACCTCAGGATCTGGCCCCCATCATGGGGCAGGCACACAAAATCTACTAGACTAGGCCCCCCTAGGCTCTGGTGTGTGAGGGGACCACATCAGTGCGGGTTTCTTGCTTGTGTATGGCCCCCGACTGATTTTTCTGAAAGTCAGTGGCCCTTGATTCAGAAAAGGTTCCCCACTCCGGCTCTAATGGGATTTATGCCCTCAAGTGCCAGCAATCCCCCTCTGCCATGTATGTTGGCCAAACCAGATAGTCTCTGCCACGAAGGATTAAGGGACACTAATCGGATATTTGAAATGATAGCACACAGGAACCTGTGGGGCACCATTTTCACCTGCCTGGGCACTCATTAATGGACTTAAAAGTAGCCATTCTTCTACAAAGGAATTTCACAAGCCAACTAGAGAGAGAGCAAGCATGCGGAATTGACCTTCACAAGCAAATTTGACATGGTCTCCCTTGGTTTGAACAACAACTTGAACTGGTTATCATATTATAACACCCGCTTTCCTTACATTCAGCACCCTACTGACATCCAAAGCTAAGTACACGACACTTCCAACCCACACAATTAGCCTCCTTAGCACCGGGACTACAACTGACTGGGAATTCCCTCTCCCCCGTCTTATTCTGAGGGTCCCCCTTTTTTTCTCTTGATTGCAAAGGCAAGGGCAGGTTTAAACAGCTGAGTTACTTATTAGGGAACGATGGCACTCAAGGAAGCCATCTTGCAGCAAGTGACATAGGTCCAGTGACACTTCCGTTAAAGGCACTGGGAGCAGAACTGGCTGTTGTAACATCAGCAACCCGCTGATGGGGATTGTGCAAATAACTCCCAGATTGGTTTGCAAGCTCCCGCAGGGTGCAAATAACCAATCTCCTTCCGGACCGATGAGCAGGTCCTTACTGTAGACTTGACCCAAAGCTTGCTGAGGTCAATGGATTTTCCATGGACTGTCGTGGGCATTAAACTAGCCACTCTGTACAAGGTTTATATGTGTTTAAGTCTCATATAAACTGTTCAGCTGGACTATGGCCTGGTCTATACTAGACCAGGCAGGTCAGCTTAAGGCACACTAGCCAGCTACGCAAAATTCCTAGCCAGAGTTGGCTTACCTTACGCCAAACCGCCACGGTGTCCACACTGCGGGAGGCTGATGAGGGCACACACTGCAGTCAGCTTCCCTTCCTCGTCGCAGAACGAGGAATACCGGAGGCCAGCAGGGACTGCCCTGAGTGCTTGATTTGTCTACACTAGACCTGCTAAATCGAACACTAAATCCATCAACTTCCAGAGGGTCAATCTTCATGTGTGTTAGGTGTGCACCAAGTGTCTTGGTAACTCACCGAAAAGAATAAACCCACGAAACTGACATACCTGATTTTGAAAGAGAACGTGAAGGGGGAAAAATATTACCCTTTCTCTTTAAACTATCTCTTTTCTGTATTGTTACCTTGACAACTCTGCTGCTGTTTTGCATCTTTGGTGGGACTTAACTGTGGTGGAAGAGGGGGACATGCATTCTATGCTTCCCTAGGTACTCCCACCTCCTACACAAGCACGTGTCAGTAACAGGGCATCTAAAGCCACAGAACCCGTGTTCGTTATGTCGCCCTATGGTATCCTCTGCAAATCATTACAGATCCTCAGAACTGGGACCCGTTCTGAATGAAGGTACAACGTTATGTCTTTTTGTTAAGCCCGAACCACAGCAGTTTTAATTTCCTAGCAAAAGAGATGCAACGTGCTTCAAATATTTGCCGGGGTTAGCAGAGCTCAAGAGCAGGGAGGAGTGAAAGTGCTTGAAAAATAATTGTGTTATTTTTGGCATAAGCAGCGCCAGGAGTGTATGTCAAGATTAGGGTGCAGCTCTGATGGGCTGAGCTGAGGCTAGCAGGGATAAAAATATCCTTTCCCTTCTTGCCATTGAAATTTCACGAGGAGAGGCAGAGGTAAGGGGAAGGTGGCAGTGAATTGAAATTTGAATCTCTATTACCCTTTGCTTTTCTTAGGGCAGGAAAAGCTGCCTGCTTGCTGACTGAGGTCTTCTCAAGACCGTCGCAACGGAGAAAATGTTAAGAAACAGTCAGGGTATGAGCTGCGGAACTTCCCACGCTTTCGAAAAAAGTTAGTGAAGAAAACGACTCTATCAGGCAAATGTGTGGCCAGAGCGGCTTGCTTTACAGTAGTAATCACAAGATCCCAGACTGCCGCCCTACCCTAAGCTCTGAGCAGGGGTGTGTCGGGGGTCCGGTTATTGAATGCAGAGCGCATGTGTTTTCAATTGCTATCTGGAGCCAGCCCAGTAGCTGTAAGTTGGCCTGACAAAGACTTATTGAAGTACGGACAGAGTGCAGTTTCAAAGCAACGAGAAAAAGAACGGGAGTGCTGTTCAGGAAATTCTTCAGGCATGGGCAGGGACTTGGCTGCACTTCTGCTGTTGGAAAATCTGACAGGGGCAGTTTCTGAACACAGGCTAGGCCTCGTGCTGTTCTGAGAGCAGCACCGCATCTTCTCGCGTCTCCCCTCCCCCTGTACTCGCCACACTCCGTTGCATCTGGCGACTGAAAGAAAGGTAAGAGGGGGATTGCTCTTTTCTCTGTGCAGTGACTTGGATTTGCAGTTCTTTTGTTCTGGGGCAGAGGAGATCTGTTTGTTTCCAGCAGACTGTTTAGAGAGAGGAAGAATTTGGGGCTATGCAGCTGTGGCATGTTGGCTAAAGTATCCCGCTAGTTTTGAGTGGGGTGTCAGTTTCTTTCTAACTTTTTTTTCTTCCGTGCTGATCTTGCAGGCAGATTGGTTCTTGCTTCTGCCAAGATATTTGCACAAAGGTTTCCCAACTTGTTGGTTTTTTTCCGAAGGGAAGTCTGGATACAGCTTTGTAAGAGCATCAGCATGAAAAGAAAAAAAAAAGTATTGTGATCCAGATGCAGTCAGTGAATATTGCTCACGGTACATTGTCTGCGGTGGCAATAAATACATATGTAAAGTAGCATTTTTCATGGGCTCGGGGGAATATAGGGATTGCCTATTGCTAAGCGTTCCTGTTACGAAGCCACCAAATAATACAGCTACATCGTTAAAGCAGGAGGTAATCCTGTTGCAATCATCACGTTCCGATTTTTCAGCAATTCTCCTTTCCAACACTTGCTTTTATATTTGGTAAGATATAAACCAAATAAAGCACATTAGAAAAAAAACTCAAAACCCAGCCTAGAAGATTAAAACTAGAGACTTTAATTGAACTTGCATTTTTCTTCTGGCTGCGCATTTTCTTAGTTATTCTTGGAAAGAAGCTTAATTCTAAGACGCAATCATGACAAATAATTTCCCAGTTTAGCAGACTGCCAGATTTGGGCTTTACTCGCTTGTCCTCCCGGTTGCAGCGTGAAAGCTGGAGGCTTTCCTCGGCCGCGATAGCAGCTCCTTATGTGCCGTGTTTGTGTGTGGAAGTTAGGGGACAATATATTTGCTGACGATGCTTTTGTATCCTGCTGTGTGCATAGGGTTAAAAGAGATGGTACGATAGTGCTGCATTTACCAAAAGGGACTGAATCAGCTGCAGTTCGGGGACATAGACTTAGAGGTTGCATGTGGTGTGCGTTCCATGGAGTGGCACTTAGAGCACTTACAGGGAGAGAGCGAGTTTCCTCTACAGCCTTAGCTGAGCGCCAGCTGGCTTTTATCTCATGTGACGGAGACTCATGCACCAAGCTCCAGAGGTCCTAGGTGTGATTCTGTCTGTCGGCATTACGCTCGTTTTCCTATTGGCCAGCAGGACCTACCATGCCGTAGCCGAGTGGCTGCTTGCTTTGGTCACCCACGACATTCCCAGCTGATCGAGCCCCGTGTGGGAGTTGGCCAGGCTCTTGCTCTGTGTTGCCAGCGAAGAACTGGCTGTCATGGGGGGAGAGGGCAGAGTGTTAAGAGGCAGGGCTTGGGGGGACAGGGACAGGCACCCCCCCACCCCCAGCTCACCGGGACTCCCAAGCCAGATTGCACAGCTATGCTGACTGGGGATGGCCTGCAGGCCGAGAGTTTGAGACCCCGGCTCTATTAGTTGTGCAGGGTTAGAAAGAAACTTCCCCATGGGCCTTTATGCAATAATTATCTATTAATGGGATCTTCCACCTTCCACTGATCATGGTCTTTGGGTTGGCATTTCCCATGTTCCTATGTCCAAGCCTAGGGACATAAAATACTGTTTAATTGGTTAAACATGGGAGTGCCCGGACTCCTGTGAGGGGTCTGCCCTGGCTGCCACAGCTCCTGGCCCCCGCGTGGGCTGGAAACCGGCAGCCCCAGGTGGGGGGACCTGGTGGGGCTGTTCCTGGGTACCAGCTGACCATTCCTTGGTAAGCATCACCCACAAAAGCATTGAGCCAGCTTGGCAGTGCAAGCCTCTGAATCATGTGCATTTGTTTTGTGTGGACCAGCAGTTACCTGTCAGCTCGAAGGACTGTTTTGCCCGCTTTGATCACGGGGCCAGAGCAGGGCAACGCTCTCTCAGACTCCATGGACTTCCCGGGTCAGGAGTCCCTCCTGCAAATGTGGAAGTGCCTGTAGGGGGTCTAAGGCACTCAGCACCGCTTAGCACCTCCTCCTCTGCCCCGGTGGGTCTCAGACAAGGGTGCGTGCATGCAGAGGGCATTCGGGGTACACCCACTCATCCAGGTACTTTGCACCAGGCTGTATAAAAAGCACCGGCAAAGTCCGTACAAACTCGGGATGTAAAAAGTCGCTTACACATGTACGTAAAATCCTGGTGGCTACACGGTTACATGCACGGTGGGCTGTGCGGTGAAACGCGCGGATATAAGCTTTAATCGGCAGACCCCGCAGCCAAGCAGGCTCCCTGGGAGCTGCCGGCCCTGCGCCTGAAGTAAAGTTAGAGCCCATGGTGAAACCAACTCCCGGGCAGCAGGGCCCACAACCCCTGCCAGCCCCACTCCTGCGGGGCCACTGTGTAACCTGCAGTGAGGGGCCAGGCCCGCCACGGACAGAGGCTGCTCTTGCTGGCCAGAATTGTATCTGCTTGCGTCTGGCCACAGGGCCAGAGCAATTCTCTTTCCAGGGACGGTAGGGCGCTGTTCCAACCCCTACTGCTTAAGCTTACTCCGTTAAGGTGAGGCTTGCTGGTTAGCTCGTTAACCATTTACATCCCTAGTACAAACTAAACTTCCATACGGATGGTGACTTATCTCTACGGCTGTCTGCTATACGGCTGTCTACAAGTACAGCTAGGGTTGCAAGCTGTCTGGTTTTGAACTGGACGGTCCAGTATTTGAGCTTTCTCTTCGGGAAACAAATTGAGAAAATAGAAATGTCCGGTATTTTCTAACTAAGATGCAATGTCGATTGTGATGTCAAACCATCTGGCAACCCTACGTACAGTATGTATATGCCAGTTGATTTATTTGCTGATTACATGGTAAAATGAGAATGTGGTAGTGGGCCATGACACTTTTGTATTTTTATGTCTCATTTTGTAAGGCGGTAGTTTGAAGTAAGGTGAAACTTGGGGGCACAGAAGGCACCTGGAAGGGGTACAGTAGGCTGGAAAAGTTGAGAGCCATTCTTTTAGCTCCTCTGCCTTCCCTCCCCCGGGAGGGTCACCAAAGCTGTCTTTGCAGATAGCTCTGGGAGAGGCGAGAGTCCCTCCCGGATCCATCCCAAATATGGGCACAGAAGAGCAGCTCTGGGCAGTGTGTACCGCATGCCCATTTGGGGTTTGGGTCTGAGCACGTGGGTTTGGCCCGTGCTGCCGAATGATGTCAGTATCGTCGATTCAAGCTGCAGCTGGCTGTGTGGGGAGAACCCGAGACGATGTGTCTGCCTCTGTTCCTCACTTGCTCAAACAGCTCTGAGCAGAGGAGCGGGTCCCCGTCGCAGCGGGTTGTTCTCAAGAACGCGGGGGAGATTGCAGTGACAAAAGATGCCGGCCTCCTAGGTGCAGGAGAGGGGCAGAACTCCCCTACCCCCGGGGTATTTCCTTTCCGTTGGAAACCATTTTGGTGCAAAGCATTCATCATTTTGCCACTGATCAAAGGAAAACCTTCTGGCACGGGAGCAGCACTGATGCCTCCGCTTAGCGGGTTGTTCTCAAGAACGCGGGGGAGATTGCAGTGACAAAAGATGCCGGCCTCCTAGGTGCAGGAGAGGGGCAGAACTCCCCTACCCCCGGGGTATTTCCTTTCCGTTGGAAACCATTTTGGTGCAAAGCATTCATCATTTTGCCACTGATCAAAGGAAAACCTTCTGGCACGGGAGCAGCACTGATGCCTCCGCTTGGACACGCTCTCTTCTGAGCCCCCCATGTAGCCCAACGAGCCATCTGCCCGGG